GGTATCTTGGTCATGGTACTTTGGGGTGCTTAAGAGAGAATTCAGCGGCTTATGGGCCTTAGGGCATTGTGGTTTTATGCTAAGATCTCTTGTGTGGTGAGCTTTGGGTGAGAATCATGGTGTTCCGACGAGGAGAAGTGTTTACTTGAGCGTAATACAGAGGAACTCGGAGAAATAGGGCAGCTTGGTAATAGGTTGTATCAGCATGGTAATGGATATGATTGGCTCTTTTGGTTCTTACGACGTGGTGAGTCTCTACAGGTGCCTCATGGCAATACTCTTGGGTTTTGACGACCCGCGTGGCCTGTGGAGTCAGAGAGATTCAGTTCTGATGGTATGGTTATGTGCAAACGGATTCCAAAGAGTTCTCGATGATTGGTATCACGGTTCGAGGTGGATATTTCCTACTGGCGTAAGGAGCATGTTGCGTATTGTGATTTTCTCGTGGAGGGGATCAAATGGAAGGTTCTTGGCTAATCAAGTATGTAGTTTTCTTGTGACTTGGAGTGGATTATGAGATTCTCGTACTTTTCATATGACGGCATGATTGATGTGGTGTGTTGCGTGGGATCGAGATTTGCATGTGCAAGGTCACGGGTCAGTTTTGAAGGGGAGGACATAAATTCTTAGGTAGCATGGACGGTTTCAGATGACTAGGTGAATGATATTACTATTTCATATTAATGAGTAAAGTGTACATTTTAGAAGGCGCACTGTGTTTTGATTTATGGATACTTCATTAGTATGGCGGCACTCTCCTAGTTGATCGACTGTTGATTTTCAAATGTTGCTATGTGGCACGAAAGAATGGGAGAAGTATTCCTTGTGGGATGATCGTGTATGAGAGATATATTAGATATTCAGGCAGTGGAGCCGGGATTAGATATGGTAATTCGTGTGTTCTATGGATTTGGAGACCGGGAGTTCTCAAGAGCAGATTGCTTCATAGTTGTGGACTGTGAAAATGTGGCCACGTTAGACAGATGATGAAGTGTGTTATGGTTAGGTCATTGTGAACCTTCAGAGGGTTATTTATCTACTTGTGGATGACCAGAGTTGATTTGGGACCCATTAGTAGGCCCAATGAGGATGTGTATTCTGCACTGGGTCAGATTGGTTAGCCCCGACTACCATTGTTGAGGAATGTGTCATTTGGTTGGAATTGATTTTTATTCGTATCTGATATGTCACACGAGTTACTTTTCTATTCTACGAGGGGTTGTGATCTGTTGGTTATGTGCACACACGGTGTGGTTCTATTAGGGCTTTATAGCGGAATTTGAGCGAGATGGGTATTTGGGTATTGCATGATTGATTGCGCATTGGTTATGTTCTTTCGAGCTTGTGTGGAATTGCGTCATTTGCTTCTCCGCGGTTATGGTAATGTACTTTGGGAACTTGATGTCGAATCGCGTGTGGTTATTGATTTTAAGCAGGGTGGCTTGAGGTATATGCCATGGACCAGTGTTTGGATGGGGTCACGCATTGCAGCGGAGTTATGTTGAGGTATGAACCTTTGTGTTAGATTCGTGTGATGGTCCTATGGTGTGTGATGGATTTTCAGCATTTCGTTGTGGTGGTACTTGTTAATCTTGCAAGACAGTTCTCTCGTTTGAGTCATTTAAAATGATTTGAGTACATTTGGAATGTCGCTTATTGGTGCACGGATTGCACGACTTATGGCTTTAGATTGTATTGATGTGGCATTTCACTAGAGTGGTTGTGTTGGATGAGATGAGGTCATTGGACCTAGAATGGATACTATCGGATTTGATTACAACATGTTTGGAAGGATAATATCGAAAGTCGGCCTAGAATTGGCTATAGTTCTTGTCGAAGGAGAGGGAGTTTCAAGACTTGTTGATCTGATAAGTAGTTATGAGTTTCTGCGTGTTTCTTTCATCATCTGCAGTATACAAGGTTTTAGATTGAGGCTTTGTTTGACATGAGGTTTATTTTTGGTATTGGGTTGTGTTGAGCAGCTACTTTGATTAGAAATCATTGCTACGAGTATTTGAGTTATGTGGTATATCATGCGATTGCATCTTGGGGTATGGTTATGGCGTGGTATAGCTTGTTCAGACTTATACAGCGTGTAGATGCGAGATTCTGATCTTATAGAAAATTCCAGATGCGGAAATTGGATTCTAAGGCTTATGGGCTAGGTTGAATTAAGAAATTTCAGTTATGTTGTGTTATTAGACCTATATGGGATAGGGTGACGTGGTATAACCCCCGGGCATGTGCATGGTAACGTTACACAGCGGTTTGAGGGCTTTTGGAACAACTCTGGGCACGTTCGAGGATGAACGTATGTTTAAGTGGGGGGAGGGGCGGGATGTAACGACCCAACCGGTTGTTTTGAGCATTTACACTTCGCTCGGTTTTTTGAGGGCATGAGTGGCTCCGTATGATGTATTATGACTTATGTGAATCGTAGGTTTTGGTTTTCAGGTTATTCGGAATTGATTTGGAAAAATGATTCTCAGCTAGGAAGCTTAAAATTGGAAGAGTTGACCAAGTTTTGAGTTTTTAGTATTTGACCTCGGATTGGATTTTTGATGATTCCGTTAGCTCCGTTGGGCGATTTTGGACTTAGGAGCGCATCCGGATTGTGATTTTGAGGTCCGTAGTAGAATTTGGCTTAAAATGGCGAAAGTTGGAATTCTAGAAAGTTTGACCGAGAGTGGACTTTTTGACATCGGGGTCGTATTCCGATTTCGGAAGTTGGAGCAGGTCTGTAATTTCAAATGTGACTTGTGTGCAAAATTTGAGGTCAATCGGACGTAATTTGATAGGTTTCGACATCAGTTGTGGAAGTTTAAAGTTTCAAAGTTCATTGATTTCGAGTTGAGGTGTGATTCGGCGTTTCGATGTTGTTATGTGTGTTTTGAGTCCTTGTAGGTCCGTGTTATGTTATGGGACTAGTCGGCATGTTTGGATGGGGTCCTGATGGGCTCGGGCGTGTTTCGGATTGATTACAGATCATTTTCCTTCATGTTTCCACTGCTGTATTCTGCTGGTTTCTGGTGTCTCAACCCTTCATCGCATTCGTGTGGCAAGTGCCGCGAACGCTTAGTGTATTCTGATGGCAGCAGAAATTGTTCTTCGCGATCACGAAGTATGTTCCGCGTTCGCGTAGAGTTGAGGCAAGTCCTCTTCGCGTTCGCATATGGAGGATCGCGTTCGCGTAGTGTTGAGGTTGGCAGCTTGGAATTGGAGCGTTCTTCTATTCGATCACGCAAGGTTAGTCGCGTTCTCGAAGCTTTGGCAGTAGTGTTCATCTCGTTCGCATTGGGTGTATCACGAACTTGTATAGTCTATTATGGCAGTGTGAGTTTTATTCATCGCGAGTGCGATGAATTTCCCGCGTTCGTGAAAGATGAGGCATGGGCAGATTATAAAGCACTCTATTTCGAGGGTTTCGGCCATTTTTACATTTTTGGAGTTATGGAGCTCGGATTGAGGCGATTCTTGAAGCCATTTTCACCATATGAATTGGGGTAAGTGCTATCTACATGGTTTTGGTTATATTTTGTGAATCTATCTTCGTTTTTGGGAATTGGATGGTAAACTTTAAAGAGGAAACTGGGGTTTCTAGCGTAAAGTTTCATCATGTGAATTTTTGAGTTTTGAACATCGATTCAGAGTTGGATTTGAATAACATGTATGGTTTGACTCGTAATTGAATGGGTTATCGGATTTTATAAGTTTTGTGGGGTTCCGAGGCGCAGGCCCAGGTGTGACTTTTGGCCGGTTTTGGGCTTTGATTAAAGATTCGATCTTTATCATTTGGAATTATTTCCTTGTGCTTTATTTGATGTATTTTAGTTGCTTTTGGCTAGTTTCGAGCCGTTCGAAGGTCGGTACGCACGGGATGGAATTCTTGGAGCATCGCTTGGCTTGCTCGGTATTGGAATTTGCTTGTTCGCGGTAAGTAATATTTCAAAACTTAGTGCCGAGGTTACGAAACACCAAATTACGTATTATGTGATTAGTGTTGAGGTGTCGCACATGCTAGGTGACGGGCGTGTGGGCGTGCACCGTGTAAGTTGTGACTCCCTTATTTCTATGGTACTGTGTAGCTACCTTGTTTTTATTTGTAACCATGAAATTCCTACATACTTGAACTATTGAGCTGCGGCACATGTTAGAAACCATGCCTAGGCTACATGCTTATCCTGTTGGGACGCACTGAGGTCATTTTAGCTGTTGAGCTATCTGCTTTCGTTGCTTTACATACTCAATCATATACATTTATATGCATATCATATCTCAGTCTCTGTTATCATTTATTAATACATCATATCATCATTTTGGGCTAGTTTCATGGAATTGTGAGCCCGAGAGAGACTAGAGAGTCTGATGACTGAGTGAGGCCGAGGGCCTGAGTGAGAGTGATATAATGGGATCGGGCTGCACGCCGCAACATTTTATATTGTTTACATGTTATGGGATCGAGCTGCACGTCACAGTGATATGCACTACAACAAAAAATGCTTTTAGCGGCAATTAAAATACTTATTAGCGGCAATAGAAATGGCCGCAATATCATTTACCGGCAATTAGTTTTTGACCGTTGTAACGGGCGTCGACAAAGCTATTGGCGGCCATTAGACCAAGTGCTGGTAAAGACCCCTTTTATGGCCGGTAAAAGTACTTGAATTTCAGCGGCAATGGCCACTAAAATCCCCCCGGCATTCCCATAGGTCATACATCTTGCAGCCTTTATTATTGCCGCTAAAACCAATTTAATGACCGATAAAAGGTACCTCTTTTGGCGGCAAATACAATGGCCGCTAAAGCGATTTTAGAGTTCGGGCTTTTACATCTATTCATGACTTTTGCTATGGACAGTAAAATCTAATTGTTATAAAAAGAGGATATTTTAGTGATTTTTATATTTGCTGCTAAAATATAGAAAGAACTATTCCAACATTTGTAATGCATGTTGTACCTATTTATATTCCATAATAATAATAATAATAACAATAATAATAATTCACTTCAAACAGCTCAATGCACTTTATTAAATTCATAATTTGAGAGTGTAAACAACATAAAGAATGCTAAATTATTTGAATCCAAACATTTCGCGTCTATTTAATTATTTTATCAAGTAGCTATAAGCTCGATAATAAGTTACATCGGACAGATTCTCCCAACTCTTGATCACAATAACTTCCACATACCATGTCTCTGAACATCACAATATATGACCTGAAATGATAAAATAAAATTAATATAATATAAACAACATATAAACAACATATAAAGTTCATCAATAGTCAAGAAAAACAACTACTTGACCTTTACATACTTATACTGGCGGCATATCAAGGAATTGCTACTACAAAAGTTAGTCAAAATCAAGTGTATAGGAAATGCATTTCTTTTCCTGCTAACCATTACAATATAACAAACCTCAAAAAGATTTATAGAGTACGAAGAAGGTCAAATACCAGTTCAAACAAAAATATATTGTACTACACTTAACAAAGAGCATTTTTTTTTGTCTTTAGCCAATCCTAGATCTTTGAGATACCGTAATGTCTATTTTTCACAATAAAACTCTTACGATGACAAATATATTTATATAGCTACGACACTTTCGGATATAAATGAGATAAAAATATCATTGTTCATGATTCTACGGGAAAAGAAATTGCATAATAGCTTCTTCGAATGGTAACATGAAGTAGACAACATCATTGTTAAAACTCATTTAAGTTGTTGGATTTTTTAGTCCACACAGTTATGTTTCAGGAGTTTTTAGCCAATATTATCCCTTATCTTTAGGGGTAAGCTTAACTTTGTCCTTTAAATATAACCTTGAGCACTATTTATCCTTTTAAGTTTGCTAAACTTGAGTACATTTAGTCTCACCAACATAAAGCACCAAATCTGTTAGAAAACTAACTGTAATGCACTAGACTTCAATGAGTCTTCTTATAGATGTTATAAGAAATGCACAAATTTACCGCTTTTTCTAGAAACTAGTTCGCTTCACATGTCACAACATTAAATTCCAATCACAACAATATCATATTTCAGCATAACTTGCAAAGATCTGATTTTGGCTGTAAGATAGGGAAAAGAAAATGAAAGCAGTGTGTTTTGTAGTAAAAAGGAAAATGTATAGAGGGAAAATGAGAGCATCACAAAACAATTATATATGGAAAGAAAAAGGAAGGAGAGCCCATTACTTCGTAGTAGTATTTTTACTGAGAGATGAATTATTTCCAATTAACACGTGAGTTTGGCCAAATGAAGAGCCAAAACCACAACTACAACTGAAAAACTAATTAAATATCAAAAGCTATATCGACTTGTAGAAGCAGTCGCTGAAGTAGTTTTGTGCAAAACTGAATTACAGACTTCTAGTACACGCACTATAACTAGGATTTATTTCGCCACTGCTCCTAATAAGTCATTGCTAGAATGAACCAAAGTATTAAAGACTTGAATATGAATCAAGAAGGCTAGGGGTTTTACTGTTGTAACAGAGATGCAAAGGTTAATTCGAGAAGAAGGGTATTCTTCAAAAGGGAGGGATATCGACGATTTATGGGTTATTAAGCATCACGTGCAGATCACAGTGTGCTCTGCTGTTAGTTTTCTAACGGAAGTGGATATTCTTTGTTTGTGAAACTAAGTGTGCTCAAGTTTTGCAAACTTAGAGGACAAATAGTGCTTAGGATTATATTTAAAGGACAAAGTTAAGCCTATCCCTAAACATAAAGGATAATTTTGGCTAAAAGTTCTATGTTTCAGCATAGAGATTACTTCATGTAATTTAATGCAACAGTAGACACATTTTTAGCAAATTACAACTCCTAAAATTTCAGCTTTTTGCTCTCTTCAAACAACAAATGAAACTTCAAGAAAACACCTTTCAACCCCATGCCTAATCATACTTAATTTAAATTCTTCATTTGCTAATAGCATATCAGCAATATAGCCCATCTTTCAGCATAACAAAGTAACAATCAATATATATAATCTCTTTTTTAATCTAATATTTCAGTGCTCATCCACATACAGAGGGCATATATCTAACATTCCATTCTCTTCCATAAAGAGAAGATAAGATATTCAGAAAAGAATACAATCATAGTCTAATAAAATTATTGACAACGAAAATGAAGTTGACAAAGTTGACAGATAGACTGTAGACAACAAATATCACTTGAAGCAAATAGATATATTAGTTAAAAAAACTGAACAGTTAATGAGTTAACAACGAAATTAGACTAAATCAGAGTTAATAACCTAGCTTTGTTCGAACAAGTATAATTGGTACTCCAGGAACATAATGTCTCAATTTAGGAATCCGCTAAAGAACAATAACAAAATCAAGAAATAAGGTATTCCTTCAGAGGAATTATAAAATATCACCATTTGGAGACATTTCTCCAATGTACTATAAAAAACAAGTAAAAGTACTATAAAGAAACTTGAAGTTAAGAAGGAAGTCTACCTTTTTTGGATACATTTTTATAATTGGGCTTGCTAACGAGAGAAAACGTCTGTCAAAAATTAAATTATCACAAGGTCAAAAATTCTATCAACAACCAAGCATCTAAATCATCATCTAAACTATTCAACTTCAGAAGCAAAGGCAAGCTCTTCAATAATAAGCCTTCATCTTTATAATAGAGTATCCACATATTCAATCACAAGGTTCTATATTTGAAGCGTTCTTCTCTATTCTTTTACAGAAGTTATCACCAATACTAAAAAAAATTTGCCGACAAATAGTTTAACCAAACAACTTCAAGGAGAAGTTCACTAAGCTAAACACTGCTAAAGACTATTTTCAATATGGAATCCTTTCCCCTCGACATATCAAATGCATAAACAATATTACACACACGCGCGTACACACAAAAAAGAACTTACTGCTATTGCCAATCAAAAGGAGCTTGATGAGGTAATCTCTAATCGTGATAGGCTAGAGCAGGTGGAGCGGCTATTTGATTTTCTCAGAAAATGATGAAGGGGAACTACTCCAACCCTAGATATACAAAAGTCACCTTAGCAATTTCCAGAATGTGAGGAAAACTGAACAAATTAGAATAAAATTAATAGAAATTCGTGTGTATAAATATATGTACAAGGATTTTATACATACATACACTATCATTTCGGATCGGAGAACCGTAAAGGAAAGAAAGAGAAATATGAAGATATGTATGAGATCTAATAAATAAACGGGTGAGATAACGAGAGAGTAGAAAGAGATAGTTGTGTTACCTGGAATTGTTGGCCGGTGATGAGATAGAAATGAGTTGCAGCGGCGGTGATGTTTTCAGCAGCGGCGGTGATGTTTTCAGCAGCGGCGAGATAGGTCGAGTCTTTGTGCAGTATTCCCAAATTTTCCAAATTTTATTTTGTTATTTGAGAAATTGGAGGGAATATCTAAGTGGTGTGAAAAAAATGTGAGGGAAGATAAAATAGTGAAATTTCTTCTGAATTAGTTGCTTTTTGTGGCCAGTCATTTTTTTTGCCGGTACAAGACTATCTTTTCCTGGTCAATATCTAGTTGCCAGTAATCTTTCTCCATACATGAATGAATTAGCGGCCATTAAGCTATTCCCACAAAATAATTGCCGCTAAATACTTATTTTGTTGTGGTGATGGTGCTAGGGCTGAAGGAGCCCTTTCGGAGTCTGCACACACCCCTAGTGAGCGCAATTGATTATGTGTATATATATCGATCGAGTTGCACGCCACAACGAGCCTTACGGATATATGTATATGGATCAAGTTGCTCGCCGCAACGAGCCTTATGGATATATGTATAGGGATCGGGTTGCACTCCGCAACGAGCCTTATGGCTATATATATGTGGATCGGGTTGCACTATTGTACAGTGTTGAGTGATTGAGTGTGCTGAGTATTGAGCACGGTAAGAGAGAAATGCGAGACAATGAGATTGAGCACTCTGAGAGTGTGAGTACATGAGTTCATCACTGAGAGGCATTGCATTTGACATGCGTACTTGAGATACATGGATAGAGATGCATTTCCTTCTGCTGCCCGGTTTTGGGTACATTCATGATTTTACCTGTATCTTGACATGTAGGCATAGAGATGTACTTTCCTCATGCTATCTTAAATGAAACTTTTACCTGTTGAAAGGTTTTTGGGAAAAATTACAGTTTTCAAACTTACTTATGTTTTCGACGATTTCGGTAAAGGATTTGGTTTTCACTAATATAGTTGAAAAGCAGAACAATTTTTGGGAGTTATGAATAAGCTGAGCATTTTGAATTCCGAGTTACTTCTTTAATTACTTGCTTTACGTTGTTATGAACTATTGTTGGCTTTTGGTGTTGGACCTAACCTTGTTCCAGCTTGTCACTATTTTCAACCTAAGGTTAGGTTTGTCACTTATTGAGTACATAGGGTCGGTTGTACTGATACTATACTTCTACACCTTGTGTGCAGATGTTGACTGTTGATGTTGTTGTGCCCGATGGGAGCTGGATTCGAGGATGTAGCTGTGTTCCTGTTGTAGCTGCCTCTTGCTCATGGTAGCCTTAGATTCATAAAACTCTGTTATGTACTTTTTAGAAAGATGATGTATTTATTTCACACCGGCTTTGTAAACTCTATTCTTAGAAGCTCATAATTTGTACTACCATTTCTTGGGGAATATATAAGATTCAGATAATTCCTTTTGTTTAATTGTCTTATTAATATTATTGGAATTGGATAGTCGTTAGTTGTCTTACCTAGCGGGTTGAGTTAGGTGCCATCACGACTAGTGGATTTTGGGTCGTGAAACCGGAAAGAGAGAACATGCCATATACTTTCTGAGCAAGAAGTTCGCCAGTTATGAACCAAGTACACATTGTTGGAAAGAACTTGTTGCGCCTTAACTTGGGTCGCCCAAAAGCTCAGACATTACTTGTTTGCTTACACAACATATCTCATAACCAGGATGGATCCTTTGGAGTATATATTCCAGAAGCCAATGCCCACTGGAAGTTTAGCAAAATGGCAGATCCCGCTCACTGAGTTTGATATAGTCTATGTCACCCGCACGTCGACGAAAGCCCAAGCCTTGGCGGATCATCTATATGAGAACCCGGTTGATGATGAATACCAACCCCTAATAACTTACTTTTCGGATGAGGAAGTAAATTCGGTTAAGGTAATTCCTGAGAACACCAACTCCTAGAATATGTTCTTTGATGGGGATGTAAATTCAAAAGGCGTTAGGATCAGAGCAATTCTATTTTCTTCCACAGGTCAGCACTATCCGGCCACAACCCGGCTGGGGTTCTTTTGTGCAAACAACACTGTAGAATATGAAGCCTGCATCATGGGCATGAATATTGCAGTTGATATGGATGTAGAGGAATTGTTAATCATGGGGGATTCTGATTTAGTCATTCGACAAGCCCAAGGAAAGTGGGAAACTCGAGCATCAAACTCATCCCGTACAGGAAGCATGTGGATGATCTCAGCAAATGGTTCAAGTCCGTCGAGTTCAAGTATTTCCCTCGATTCCACAATGATTTAGCTGATGCACTAGCTACTTTGGCCTCAATGCTGCCATGCCCGGGTAATGTTCATATTGACCCGTTGGAGATTCAGGTTCAAGAAAGGCATGGTTATTGTAACACAATTGAGATGGAGCCAGATGTTCAACAGTGGTATCATGATATCAAAAAGTTTTTGAAATCAAAAGAACATCCCGAGCAAGCCAGCGGGGATCAAAAAAGAACTATCAGAACGCTTGTAAGTATCTTCTTTTTTAGTGGAGAAGTCCTATACAAAAGAACTCAAAATCTAAATCTTTTGAGGTGCGTCGATTCCCGAGAAGCTGAAAATATTATGAATGAAGTGCATTTGGGAGTATGTGGGCTCACATGAACGGGTATGTCGTTGCAAGAAAATCCTCCGGGCAGGTTATTACTGGATGACCATGGAAAAGGATTATTTCAGTTTCGTCCAAAAATGGCATCACTGCCAGATACACGGTGACCTGATTCACGCACCGCCTTCAGAGTTACATCCTATGTCGGGGCTTTAGCCGTTTATTGCTTGGGGCATGGATGTTATTGGTCCAATCGAGACAAAAGTTTCAAATGGGCAAATTCATCTTGGTTGTCATCGATTATTTCACAAAGTGAGTCAAAGCAGTCACTTTCAAAGCCGTCACCAAGAAAGCAGTGGTGGACTTCGTGCACTCCAACATTATTTGTCGTTTTGGTATTTCTATAATTATCATTACAGACAATGCTGCAAATCTAAATAGCCACTTGATGAGGAAGGTATGCGAACAACTCAAAATTATGCATCGTAATTCTACCCCTTATCGGCCCAAAGCTAATGGCATTGTTGAAGTAGTAAACAAGAGCATAAAGAAGATCCTCAGGAAAATGATTCAGGATTTTCCAGACAATGGCATGAAAAGTTGCCTTTTGCACTATTGGGATATCGCACAACCGTGCGCACATCAGGCAGGGCCACTCCCTACTTATTGGTCTATGGCACCGAAGTTGTAATACCTAAAGAAGTTGAGATTCCCTCTCTTTGGAACATTGTTGAAGTCGAGATCGAGGATGATGAATGGGTCAAGACCCGATTGGAACAGTTGACTACGATTGATGAAAAGCGGATGGCCGCCGTTTGCCATGGGCAGTTGTATGAACAAAGAATAACTCGTGCCTACAGTAAGAAAGTGCGGCCCAGAAACCAAGAAGTAGGGAAACTCGTTCTGAGACGTATTCTCCCGCATCATGAAGAAGCTAAAGGAAATTTTTCTCCAAATTGAAAAGGTCTATACATTAAAAGAAGAGTGTTTCCGAAGGGAGCACTGTATTTGGGAGACATTGAAGGAAATGACCCTGAGATAACTGTCAATGCAGATCCAGTCAAAAGGTATTATGTTCGACCCGTTTTCACAACTTTAACATGCTCCGATTGGGATGACGAAGGCTTTTTGTCTCGCTATCCAAACACTATCAACCCTATGCAAACCCTTTTAAACTGGGGCATAAGTTGTAGTGGTTCGGCGATGGTTTCGCCCGAAAGGTTCCAAAATTGTAATTCAATTAAAATTCTTTTGCCCACATGGATCTGTTACAACAAATGAGAGAAATAAATATGAGAGTCTTATTGGTAAACAGAAAAACTAAAATTGAGATAGTCTTGTTAGTTAAAACTCGCAAAGAGCACTATAAAGCGATCATGAGAAGTGAAATGAGAGAGGTCGGTTGGTGAAAACCCGCAAAGGGCACTACTGATCGAAAAGAAGATCCTCACGGCCATTAGCATCAACACAGCCCTGGGCAGGGTTCCTCGGTTTCGAGGCAAAAGTTATGATGAATTTATGAGAGTCGGACAGTTTACACAAGTCAGGCATCTAGTCCAAAAGACATGTCATGTTCATTATTCACATGTGCTCCAGATAAGTCCTTCTTTCCATTCCCCAAAAGGGATGCCTCTTGCCTAAATTCATTGTCAATTTCATTGTTTGTTTTTCTTTGAATCCCTTTCGGTCTAACTTTATTACCAAAACTAAGGCAAAGAAGGGATGGCAAGGCTGATTTACAGGGCTTTCATTTGCTACAAGCTAATATGCAAAAAAACACCCAGCCTGGCAGGGGGATCAAGTCAACCCCGACTGGCCATGGCGGCCGATGCTTCAAAATCAAAAACTCTTGGAAGGAAGAAACCGAATCGAAGTGCCTGCAAAGGCAAAATGAAGTTGAAAAGGTTAAGTCCCTAGTGGCTAACTTACTTGGCAAAGTTTGAAAAGCCAAAGGTTCCATAATGCTCTGAAGTTAAAAATTGGAAGAAAGAAGTCAAATGCCCACAACAGCAAAATAAAGTTGAAAAAAGGTTAAGTCCGACGCGACTAACCGTCATGGTAATGTTTTGGAAAAGCCAAAGGTTCTCTGGGGCCAGAAGTGCAATCGGTATTCAGGAAACAACCAGGTGAAATTATCATTAAAGAAGCCGGCTAAGATCAAGTGACTGAAACACTCAAGGCCACAAAACCAACCACCATTTCAAATTGACAAATCAAAGAAACCTTGCAAGAAGCAGGCGCAACCAAAAAGAAACTGCGCGGAGATTAAAATAGCTCTGCAGCACCAACAATTACATAAAGGGAAGTCTTCTCCAAATTCTTTCTAGCATTTTACTCGTTCTCTTAATAAAAAGAAGAAACAAAAGAAAGAAAGTTCAAAATCGTGTTAGACATGGGGTCTCCACTCCCTACTCTCTTTTTCAACATAGGTTCTCCACTCCCTACTCTCTTTTACAACATATGGTCTCCACTCCCTAGTTGATTTTATTTTAGACATAGGGTCTCCACTCCCTAGTCGATTTTCCAACATAGGGTCTCGACTCCCTAGTTGATGTTATTTTAGACATAGAGTCTCTATTCCCTAGTCTCTTTTCCAACACAGGGTCTCCACTACCTAGTTGATTTTATTTAGACATAGGGTCTCAACTCCCTAGTCTCTTTTCCAACATAGGGTCTCCACTCCCTAGTTGATTTTATTTTAGACATAGGGTCT